TATCCATAGCAAGTATAACTAATAAAATTTTAATATCCACAATATATAAGAACTCCTAGGACTCAATAAGAAAAAAAAAAAAACTACATTAAAAAAGCAAATGAATAGACAATATGAACAGGCATTTAACAGAAAAGAAACATGAATGGCCAATAAAATATATCACTGACACTCGGAATTCAAAATAAAACAAGGTACCATACACACATACACAATGCACACACCATTAAAAAGTCAATGCCAATTTATCAGAGAGGATGTGTAGAAACATGAACTTTCATGCACTGCTAATATTGTATAAGTCAGCACAGCAATTTAGAAAAAACAATATGACAATATCCAATCAACTTTAAAATAGACACAACCTATAATCCAGCAATTCTACTTTTAGAAAACTCTAGTCTTAACATATACGTAACTGAAATATGCACAACAATGTTCACGACAGCAATTTGTAGCAGGAAAAATAAAAAACAATCTTGTATTTGTCAACTAGGTAATCATATAATCAAATACCCGACAAGAAAAACGAATTAGAGCTACATATAAACTTAGATTAATAAACTATTATTGAACAAGAAGAGCAAGTTACAAAAGACATAGCATGACACACATATTATTTAAACATGTAAAATAAAACTAAGAGGGTGTCCCCAAAATGCATGTTTTACTAACATAGGCGGTGTTTACTAAAATAGACTTAATTTTCAAAATGTAATAGAATCAGCAGTTACATTTTTAATACAAAGCCTCAAAAGTCCCTGTGTACTTGATAATTAGAGATCAGTTTAGCCACGTGGAGTGCTCAGTAACCATAGTGGCTACCCTAACAAACACAGCTCAAAACAACTCTGCCATGCTTTCTGTAGTATCCTAATTTAGTATTTTTACTTGTATTTTTTAAACTCCCAATCAATCATTGCTATTATTTTCTTATACATTAAATTAACCTGCAAGCTTATTGACTTCTTGGTTAACCTCACTCCTACCTCAGACCTCCATCTGGAGTCACTGGCCTTTCTGAAGTGCAACCTCTGGAATTTCCAGTGGGTCTGTTATCAATGTCCTCATTTGTCTTTTTCTTTTCGGAGGGAGATGGGGGGTAAGAAGAAAGAGAGGGTACTTCCTGAAGACATCATTATTTTGCTCTTAAGGGTAATTTGGCTGATTATGTAAAAATAGGGGAATATTATTTTCATTCAACACTCTGAAGACACTATTATTTCCACTATCTTTTGGATGCCCATGTTGCTGAAGAAGCATTTTCTCTTCTTATTCCTCTTTAAGGAATCTAATTTTTCTCAGGCTCTACTGAAGATCTTCTCAGTGTCTTTGGTGTTTTGCTTTCTTATTGTGATGTGTCCAGATTTCCTTATGCCTCCTAAACCTAAGAATTCATGTAACTCATCAATTTTGGAATATTATCAGTCTTTGATTTTTTCAAATTTTGTTTCTCTGCATTCTTTATCTTTCTTGAACTCTAATTAAATATTTTTTAGAATTTATCTGCCTTTCATCCCTTATCTTTTAACCTATCTTCATCTCTTTAGTGCTCTGTGCTAAATTCTGAGTAATTTCTATTTTTTAGTTCACTAATTCTCTTCAGTGCTATCTGACCAACTATATTTTTTAAAGGTCTGAGCTTTTACCACTTGTTTAACATTGACTTGAGAGAGCGAGTGGAAGATAGAGACATCAATGGGATACCTCCTTTAATGCCCCACAGGAATCTAACCTGCCACCTTGGTGCATGGGACAACACTCCAACTGAGCAACCTGACCAGGGCCTGACCAACTATTTTTAACCTGGACTCCAGGCTCTCCTATTTACCAGTTTGACTTGCATTAAAATGTTCCTTACAAATCAGATTTACAGGTTAAAGAACTATAACAAACATCACTGTCATTTGAGCACGTATGTGCCATTCCACGCCAAATCTTTTATGGATTATTTTACCTAATTTTCAAAATAACTTTTGGGGTAGGTCCTACTTTGCCCATTTAAAAATCTGTTAAAACTCAGAGGTTATCTGTTCAGTGTTAGAGAGGCCACACCTCAGCCTGTTCAATTTCAAATCACTGCTCTTGACAAAACCTCCATTGAAAAACATTCCCATCCACCATCAACAATTCCAATTTCTGTTAAATTTTAATATTGTATGTCTACTATATAAACCTTAAGTAAACTTTAAGCCAAGTGTTTGTAGATATCCTTTAAGAATATTGATGAACAGATGTTTATTGAGCAAGTTATGCAGGGCACAAAAGGTGAAGAAAAAAGCTATTACAGGAAATGTTTTTGGGAATATCATCACCCGTGTGTGGATGAAAAAAAAAAAAAAAAATCAGATATCACATCTCCTAACAGAAAAACACACCACTTACAAAACACAGAAAGAGAACCTGAGTCTCCTGATCCAACCACAAACTGACGGAGATTACCACTCCACAGCCACAGACTGTCTGCAATCCAGACAGACAATACAAGCAGCGGAGAGGATGCCGATGGGTGGGCATGCCACACACGGCTGGTGGCAATGTCAAAAGGTCTGACCGCTTTGGGAAATAGTTTGCAGTCCCTTAGAAGTTACCTAATGCCTCTGCCTATGTCCCAGCAGTTCCCACCACAGGCATCTCCCCAAGAGAAATGTAAGCACAGGCTCACACAGACTTGTACAGGATGCTCAGAGCAGCTTTGTAATAGCCCCAAACTGGGAACAAGCCAAACATCGATAAGAGTAGAAAGAATAGAACACGTTGCTGTATACCCACACAATGCAATATTGCTAAGCAGTAAGGAGGGATCAGCTATTGATACACAATATGAGTGAGTCTGAAAATAATTATGCTGAGTGGAATAAGCCAGACCAAAAAAGGGTACATACTGTACAATCCCATTTATTTAAAATTCTAAAAAATGCACATCAGTGGTTGCTTAGGGAAAGGCAGATGGGAAGGATTACAAAATGATACTTTGGGTGGTGGTGTATGCTCATTGTCTTGATTTAATAATGGTTTCATAGGTGCATACATATATCAAAACATTTACATTTTAAATGTGTAGCTTATATCAAATATTTCAATAAAGCTATTTAAAGGCAAGGCAAGATGCAGGCCAGCACACACGACACAAATCCATTTGTGTAAACAAGGCTGCTCATGTGTGGTAATATATAAACTAACTTAGAGGCCCAGTGCATGAATTCTTGCGCTGGTGGGGGCCCGCCAGCTGCCCCGCCCCATAGGGGCCTATCCAGCAGGGGGAGGGGACGCAGGAGGTTGGCAGGCCCTGCTCCTGATGGGGGATGGGAGGCGGCGATAGAAGGCAGGGCCAGCCAGGGGTAAGGGCCACTTCTGGAATCAGCTGGTTGGCCAGCCGCAGTGCACATCATAGTGATCGGTCATTCTGGTCATCTGGTGTATGGTCTCTTGGCTTTTATACAGAGAGATAATGGGGGGGGGGGGGGGGGATGTACTAGAAATATTTTAACATAATTACTTACACCCAAGAAATAAGATTGGAAATCAGTGAGAAATATTGTGCACAGCGAACATTTTTTAATCATGCACATCACTTTTATTTTGTAAAAAATTTACGAAAGCTTAATTACTTTTTTATAGGTCCGATGCTAAAGCAAAAGTTCTTAACCACTATCCTAGAAAAGTCATATAAAATGTAACTTTCGTTATTCAAACTTTTATATTCACAATGGGCAAAAAAGGTTAGCAATTACTTTTATTTCGTTTTTTAATAGTTTTCTCTCAAACTACTACAAAAATAGAAAACTGGTGAAACAATAAACCTCACTGGACATCCTCTCCCTGCCTTCTCACGCTGGGTCTTTCTAGCTCCTTCTCTCCTATCCATGAGAAGTGGACAATTCAGACTTGTGTCATTTGCTCTGACAAAATTCACTTCCAGATTGGATGGTAGCTATAGTACCTACATCTTGCACTCCTGAGCTGTTCCCCATTTTAAATCCTCCTCTATCTCAACTTAGAAAATATCATTGCCAAATACGCCTTCCCTGCAAAAAGAGCTCATTCCTTCACCCCCAATGTACACCATCTGAACGTAACAGCATTAACACATGGGGAAGCATCTAGTTCACTATCAGGCAGAAAACAAAATGAGCAAGAAACCATAAGGTATCTCCAAACGTACTGTGCCACCACCACGCTGTTCCGGCTGAAACTTTAAAATTCTCAGGGATGTTGTGAGCAGTCAGCACCACTGCGCTAAGCGGCCTCACACACCTGGAGGGGAACCGTCACTGCGTCCAGCGAATCTCCGGTTCAGTCAACGTGCCCCGAAACCAACCTTGCCCCACCTGTACTGGAGGACCTGCCGCTCTGGGCTTGGACGCCAAGCTTGGAAACGAGACCAGACCGAACGAAGCAGGACGTTAACGGAGGTGTTGCGCGTGCAGGAATTAACAGGAAATGAGAGCCTCCCCAGGACAGCCAAGGTTTAAGGAACGGGACTGTGACGGAGGGATCCCCGCCGCCGCCCCAGAGGCCGACCCTCCTCAGCGGGCAGCTCCAACCCGAAGCTAATTGTGTGAACAAGTTTCTGTCCTTTTTAACAACCAGGGTAACCGTTTCAAATGTGGCTTATTATTGGCAAAGCTGCCTTAGTGTGCATAAGACAGGAGAGTAAAAAAAAAAAAAAAAGATCGTAGATTAATAAAATAAAATTATATGATTCCGTTCAAATCACCCACGGCCACTCCGAAAGGTGGGGAACCGCTTCCTCCTCCCTGGAAGCGTTCTCCCTTCCCGGACCCCTCGCGCACCTCCTTCCCAATGGCCGCGCGGTCTGTGCGCGCGGAACCACAGGACTCCACGCCCGAACCCAGCACCTTGCAGCGAGCCAGCGGGTCTGGCTCATCCCTAGCCCCAAGCTAAGTGTGCATGCCCCCGCCCCCGCCCCCTCCCCCACCCCGCCCCCACCCCGCGGTGCTCGCACCCCGCGCCCCGCCGGCCCAGGCAGCCCCTACCTTCACGCCAACCGTGACATCTGTGACGATCCTGCGGAGGGAGGAGGAGAAGCCAGGGTCACGCCGGTCTGGGAACTTCCCAGGGTCCCGCAGCGCCCCCCCGCCCCCCCCACCGCACACTCGCGGAGGAGCCCGGTGCCCCGGCTCCCCGTCAGCCTGTGCGCCCGGGAGGGGCTGACGGGAGAAGCCGGGCCGGGCCTTCCCCACCGCGGCCGGGCCCGGGCCCCAAACTTCGGGCCGGGCCGGCGGAAGCGGAGAGCCGGGGGCGCGCTCCTCGCGGGGCCGCCGGGCATCCCGGGGCCGAGGCGGGGCGGGGGCCGGGGCCGGGGCCGGGCCGGCGGAGGGGCCGGGGCCGCCCGGGCGGGGAGGCCGGGGCCGCCTCTCGGGGGAGCGGAGCGGCGGCTCCGGCTTCCGAGGCCCGTTTTGTTTTCCCGCAAACGGGCCACCGCGGGGAGGGCCGCCCGCGCGGCGGGGCCCGGGGTCGTGAGGGCCCGCGGCCCGGCCCCCAACGGCCGCCCGCCGCCCGCCGCCCGCCGCCCGCCGGCTCCGCGACAACAAAGGCGCCGCCGGCCGCCCGCCGCCCCGCGGAGCCCCTGCCCCCGCCCCCGCCCCCGCCCCGGGCTCCCGGCTCCGGGCTCCGGGCGGCGGGGCCGGCGAGGCCGCGGACCGGGCCTCCTCAGACCCGGCCTCGCCGGCCCGCGGTCCCGCCGCCTCCCGGGCCCGGCCGCGGCGGCCCCGGCGACAGGGCCGCCCCGGCCCCGCGCCCCGAGCGGTGCCTCCCCCGGAGCCGCCGCCGCCCCCGGTCCCGGCCCGGCGCGCCCGACCCCTCGGCGGCCCGGGCGGCGGGGGGTGTGTGCGAGGGGCGGCGGGGACCGGCCGCGAGGGGCAGCCGGGGCGGGGGCCGGAGCCCGCCCGGCGACCCCCCCCGGCCCCGGCCCCGGCCCCGGCCCCGGCCCCGGCGTCACCTACCCGTCCATTGCCGAACCGGACAAAGCCTCGCTCCCGGGACCGAGCCGCGCACCAGCAGACACACACGAGCCGCGACAAAATGGCGGCCAGCGCGCGACGGAAATGGCCGAGGCGGCGGGGCGCGCGGGCCGCGGCGGCGGAAATAGCCGAAGCCGGCGGGGGGCGGGGCCTGGTGGCGCGGGGGCGGGGCCTGGTGGCGCGGGGGCGGGGCCACGGCTCTGGGACCAGAGCTGTGACCCTTGGGCACCTCCATCCCTCCTGGCCTGGTCCCCAGGGGCTGCCCCTCCTGCCGGGCCGCCGAGGAACCGACCTGGGAGCCCTGGCCCTCGCCTGCTGCACTCGCAGACCCTCCCGCCCTCTGCACTGCACCCCTGGGCCCCAGACCCGCCCAGGAGGGGCCAGTGGAGCTCATCACACCCACGGGCCGCTCCCTCCCGCACCTGCTCTCCACGCCCCGGGGGGCACCTAGTTCCCGACAGCCTGGTGGAGGATTAGGGGCACCTGCAGGAAAGGGTCCTCGCAGCCTGGGTGGGAGAGAGAGGTGGGCCTTGGGTGCCCAGCAGGGAGGACCCGCCCTGGGGCGGGCTGCTCCCTGAGTCCTCACCAGGACAGGGGCGACATCGAGGCAACCTCCTCCTTTCCCTCTCCCTTTCTCCCTTTTCCTCTCCCTCTCCCTCTCCCTCTCCCTCTCCCTCTCCCTCTCCCTCTCCCTCTCCCTCTCCTCTCCCTTGCAGCCTCCACTGCAATGTCCATAACATATTGGACGAGTTCCTGGGACATATTTTTATCAGCGACTCAACCCAGTTTGAAAAGGTAGCAGCTTTGGGGAACTGGCTCAGCGGGGACTGCTCGGCCAGTACCTTTGCCTCCCACCCACCTTCACCCCCAGCCTGGACACCTGCACAAACGCAGGCCTCATCCTGAGAAATGAGCAAGATCCCCCCCTCTCTCTCCAGTTCCTCCCCATGCCCACTTGGGGTTTCGCTATACCCCCTTCGCGCAAACCTCCTAACCCTGCACTGGCTGGAATGTCACGGTGCTAAGTGGCAGTTTCTGTATCATCCATTAAATTATATTATTTTATGTTGGGTAGGCCTTAAAGAGCTTCTTGTCCACATATTTGGTTACAGACCTCTTCAAACCCTTAAAAATTTTAAATTCTTGATTTGCCTTAGTGATTGGCAATCCTAAACAAACAAATCCATTTCCTACATTGCCTTCCCTTTGCCTTAAGCACTGACTTACGATACATAAAGGACCCACATTGGGCCATTAAACGTATTTGTGGTTTTGAACATGTAATTTTCACCCAACAATTAAATATGGAAGCTCCCAACGGACAGGCACTCGAGCATAATTCTCCGCGTCCCCCACACGGACACGATCAATATTGACTGATTGGCTCTCACCGTGTCTTGGCAAAGACGAACCGTTCCATGAGGGGAAAGCTGTCCTTTGTGGCGGAAGGAATTACACAGTATTCACAAAAACACATTCTTCTTTGTTTGTTCTTTTCTCCTAATTCAGCACAACCCTGCGCACAAGAGCCGTAGTATGCTTGCTTATTTCACTTTCTATAATAGAAAAGACCTAAGGTTCTTTACAAGACACGCAGGGCACAGGCTGTGGCACGGATGCAGGGCGAGCCTCGTGCAGCAATGGCCAGCACGAAGGCCTGTGTGAAAGGCCGCGTCCGGATGGGAGCGTGTCCTGTAGCAGCTGTGTGACCCCGGACGTGCTCACTGACCCCCAGGGAAGTCTATACTGAAAACGATGGAATTGCCGATATTGATGTGAACGAAAAGAGCCACATGCTAACCTGACAAGCTCAGGGGAGGCCTGTGTGTCAGTCTTGCAAACTCAGAGACCTAAAATAACCACAAACAAAAGATGGTTTGAAAATTAAATATCTAACTACAAATTGGTTATAGTGGGTAGCCATGTCCTAGACCGATATTTCACCTGACCAATTTCAACTTAGATCTCCTTTACGGAGCCCATTTGCCCTTTTGCCTCTAAGATAACCTATCTGTGAGACGTCTGAGTAACTTGTAACTTTCTTTTTACCCAGGACCCCTCAGGGCACAACAAATGGCCTCAAGACATTCCCTCATTGTTATTGTTATCAAGTTAATTGTCAACTGTTAATTAGAGTATCCTGTATCCATCTCTGTGAAAGAAGCTCATGCCCATCATTTCACCTTTTACCCTATCCCAGGGGTTTCCCCACTTCGCTCTGTCCCCCCTCCCTAATCTATCACCGATGAATTTCACATTACTTACCTACATCCCCTTTCCTTTGATGGCAATGTATAAATATAGATGGAACGCTGCATTCTCCGGAGCATTAACTCAATCCCTTGAGGTTCTGCTTCCCGGCATATGTCGACAGTTTGGCTCAAATAAACTCACTAAAATTCTTTACAGGTTGCAATGGTTTTTTTTCCGTTAACACTGAAAACTGAAATGGGATGGAAAGCTGGGCCTTCAGGCAGGGACCCAGGAGCCCGGGGACGGGAAGCAGGGGCTCCGGGGCTGGGCCACCCCTCACTCGGTATTAACCAGCGCTGCGCACCGGAAGGGACGCCGTCACAGCGCCGGTGCTTGGGTTTCTAACAGCCAACCGAGTTCGCACACAAATCCAGGCGGAGATCTCCAGAAAGGTTGAGCACGTCACCAGAGTGATTAGATTGGCTGGTACCTGGCGGGGTCACCCTGAGGAGATGTCATAGATGAATTCCCACGGCCCGGTCCAAAGCTCAGTCTGCACGATGTTTATGAGGTCGCCGCGGGGAGGATTGTGAATCCACACACGCGCAGAGGGCCGGCCTTGGTCAGGCAGGAGAGGCTTACACTAGTGTTTATGGACTCCTAACAAAATAAGGCAATCAAAAGCGAAGCGCCCGTGTGATTGCCCTGCACCCATCTTCTCTGGGCGTCACGATCTGTTCTCTCCCTTCTGAACGGCAAATGTGTTGACCTTTTGCGGAGATTTGCACTTAGGTGAAGGATGATTAATTCTAAATTCCGGCGTGTGCGAAGCCGACACGAGGCCTGACATGGGTGCCGTGCAAACAGGAAGTGGGGTTTGTTCATGGGCTCGGTCCTCCGGCCTGGCTCCGCCTCTCCGCTGCTGAGAGCACAGAAGACTTGAACCCTTCCATCAGAGCAGGATTGATTGGGTGGTTCTAATGATAGGATTGATCAGGGGATTTTTTTATATGAATTTTTGAATAGGCAATTTAAATTTTAAAAAAGGAAAACAAACCCCCAGGGTACGAAAGCTTACACAAAATATGGGAAAGGGCAAATAGAGGCAAACGGAGACGCGGTGGCGGCCGGCTGGCAGGGGGATGGGGAGAGCTGGAAACGGACAGGACGTGGCCAGCAGGACGGCACTGTCCGAAAGCTCACTGGCGGTGATCGTCATAAACCGCTGGTGAGAGTCATGGAGTGTAAATGACGTATCCGTGAGGCTGTTACAGAAAGAAGGCCCGTTTGCCTTCTCCTCCCACTGCAGTCCTTCCGGTTTATGGGGAATCCCTTCTAGAATGTTCTGGGCATAAACTGATTCCCTATGTACGGTAGTTCTTCTTTTTACCCCAAAGTGGTCACCCAGTACACTCAGCTCTGCAGCTTATTTCGTAACTTACGAAGAGGCCTCTCCTTACCCGTGTGTTTACAGGTGCCTCACCTTTCAGAGGGCGGCACAGAATTCTATCAGGTAAGTAAACCGCCACTTACTTAACCCGGTCTCACTGGTGGGTATTTCCAATCTTGGTACCTACAGGCAATCCTGCAACAGATATCCTGCTTCATTTTCACCCGTGTGAGTATATCTGCCGGATAAATACTACACATGCAATGTCTGGGTCTGCCTTTTGAATCTCAAACCATGCTGTCAGACTGTCCTCGGGTTCCTGGAGACCTTGTGGGAAACATTTGCATTCCTTTGCTTTTAAAAAGAGCTGATTTCTTTAATTCATAGAGTTCCTACCAAAAAAAAAAAAAAAAAAAATGTCGAAAGCCAACAACCAAATAAAAAAATGTGACTAGAACAGGAAAAAACATGACAGAACGTTTAACAGTGCCCAGCCTCACTTATAACCAGGAAGTTCCCGTAAAACTGCGCTAAGTTCCTCTTTTCACCTGCCCGCGCCCCCCGCCCCCCCAAGTCTCAAACAAGTACCACGCTTCCTGAAAACCAGGGTGGGGGAAAAAATCCTCCTCCAAACTACCAGCAATGTGAAGACAGAGTAAAGACATTCCAGGTACTCTGGATATCTTATGCATGTGTCCTTTAAAATCTTCTGGAAGATGGAATTCCAAAATGCGGGCATACATCAGTAAGGAAGAAGAGATGAGCTCCAGGAGGCCTGAGAGAGAAGAGAAGTAAATTAGAGGGAGGGAACGAAGGCCGAGGCCAACAGCTGGGCACCCCTACAGCTCTCACCTATTCACCCCTACGGCTCCCCACCTGTTCACCCCTACAGCTCCCCACCTGTTCACCCCTACGGCTCCCCACCTGTTCACCCCTACAGCTCCCCACCTGTTCACCCCTACAGCTCTCACCTATTCACCCCTACAGCTCCCCACCTGTTCACCTCTACAGCTCTCACCTGTTCACCCTGACAGCTCTCACCTATTCACCCCTACAGCTCCCTACCTGTTCACCACTACAGCTCTTACCTATTCACCCCTACAGCTCCCCACCTGTTCACCCCTACGGCTCCCCACCTGTTCACCCCTATAGCTCTCACCTGTTCACCCCTATAGCTCTCACCTGTTCACCCCTACAGCTCTCACCTATTCACCCCCACCCAGTACTCCCACAGGAGACCCTGCCCCCACCCCAGTACTCCCATGGAGGCACAGGACTGCATAAAGCAAGGCTCACATTAGTGGGGGCCTGAGTGGAGTTCTCATGTCTGTTTGTCAGAGAAATATACCCAAAGCGTCCTTTCATTTCGCCATTGAAGATTAGCTGAGTTAGCACACAGTTTCAGAC